GTTTCGCAGATCGCAGCCCCGAGCTGCCGCTGAGGTCTGCGCGGTGCCTCACTCCGTTGGACCCACCAGCAGCCCTCGAGAGTGGCGACAGTTTAGCAGCTCGCAGACCCCCAGGGACGGCGAGCTACCGCTCAGGTCTGCGCGGTGCCTCACTTCGCTGGACCCGCCAGCAGCCCTCGAAAGTGGCGGCAGTTTCGCAGATCGCAGCCCCCCAGGGACGGCAAGCTGCCGCTCAGGTCTGCGCGGTGCCTCACTTCGCTGGACCCGCCAGCAGCCCTCGAAAGTGGCGGCAGTTTCGCAGATCGCAGCCCCCCAGGGACGGCAAGCTGCCGCTCAGGTCTGCGCGGTGCCTCACTTCGCTGGACCCACCAGCAGCCCTCGAAAGTGGCGACGGTTTCGCAGATCGCAGCCCCGAGCTGCCGCTGAGGTCTGCGCGGTGCCTCACTCCGTTGGACCCACCAGCAGCCCTCGAGAGTGGCGACAGTTTCGCAGCTCGCAGACCCCCAGGGACGTCGAGCTACCGCTCAGGTCTACGCGGTGCTTCACTCCGCTAAACCCACCAGCAACCGTCGAAAGTGGCGGCAGTTTCGCAGATCGCAGCCCCGCAGGGACGGCGAGCTACCGCTCAGGTCTGCGCGGTGCTTCACTCCGCTGGACCCCAGGGACGGCGAGCTACCGCTCAGGTCTGCGCGGTGCCAAACTCCGTTGGATCCACCAGCAGCCGTCGAAAGTGGCGGCAGTTTCGCAGATCGCAGCCCCCCAGGGACGGCGAGCTACCGCTCAGGTCTGCGCAGTGCCTCACTCCGTTGGACCCACCAGCAGCCCTCGAAAATTGCGGCAGTTTCGCAGAGCGCAGCCACCCGGGCACGGCGAGCTACCGTCCAGGTCTGCGCGGTGCTTCACTTCGCTGGACCCACCAGCAGCTCTCGAAAGTGGCGGCAGTTTCGCAGATCGCAGCCCCCAAGGGGCGGCGAGCTACCGCTCAGGTCTGCGCGGTGCCTCACTCCGTTGGACCCACCAGCAGCCTTTGAAAGTGGCGACAGTTTCGCAGATCGCAGCCCCCCCCCCAGGGATGGCGGAGGGGGGGGGGGCGGGAGGAGGAAGACGCGACCGCGGTGCTCTATTCAGAACGAATACCCAACCACGGAGGGTTGGGAAACAAACAGACCACATCAGTGTGCCCCGTTTCAACATGGACAGCATGCCGTCCATCTTTCAAAATGCGTGGAAGGAATGGGACGGGGCGCACACCCCGCGAGAAAGGCCGATATGTCGCCTTCGCATGGGTGCCTCGCTTTGGCGCGGCGCGCATTTTTCGCACGGATGCGACGCGCGAGCGGCGAACATGTCGCTCCCGCTTCGGCGCCGCGCAGATTTCGCCTGGAGGACGCGGAGCCTATTTGTCACTCGCCAGTTTGGGGGTGGGGGGGGGCGCGAGAGCAGGCGACGTGTCTCCCTTTGCCAAGTTCCGTGCGCATTACGCTCGGAAGAAGCGTTCCAGCGAGGGCTTGGTGCACGGCTCGTTCGCCGAAGCACATCAAAGCGACAGTGGCAGCGGGGCCGCGCGAGAGCGGGAGAAATGCCGACTTCGCCCAAGCGACGGGCAGTTTGTGAGTGAACGTGGCAGTGCTGCGTCAGCGCGGCGCATGCTTCGTCTTCGCCGCTCCCGCCCCTGCGCGTCCCGCGTAGCTTTCCCTTCGCCAAGTCGTCGAAAGCGGGGCTGCGCACGAACGCATTCCACGTGCAAGGTGAGAGGGTGTTCCAATCCCGATATAGTTATGCCGCACTTGATGATTATGTCGTGGGAGGGAAGGTGGGAGCTGGCGGGCCCTTCGACTCGATCGGCCTGGCTAATACCTTGACTCCTACTCCTACTTTTACGCCGCCTCCTCATCATCACCATCGTCATAATCAGAATCGTGGTCATCATGATCCTCTCCTCCCTGCTCCTTCGACTGCTCCTCTTCCCCCTTCCTCCTCCCCGAAGTCGGAGTCGGAAGCGCTGGCAGCCGATACCCTCACCTCCTCCCGCTCCGCGGCGCGGGGACCCCGCCAGGGGGGCCCAAGGCTGCGACACCCCATCTCGAGAGATCGTCGACGCGATGGGTTCCCCCACGGGGGGGCAGGGAACACACAGCTCACCCAGGTGTAGCGGATCGGTGCCGCCAGCTCCACGTTCAGAGGTTGTTCGATCGAGCTCGAACGTCTCGGCGCGCTGTTTGGCCGACCTTCAGGGGCGTCGGAGGGGATCCTGGAGGCCTCTGGGGCCTCTGAGGACTTCGGAGGCCCAGGTGTCGGGCAATTCGTAAACAGTCGCGCTGGAGGAGGATCGTTGCGTTCAGCCTCTAGGGGCCGTTCCTTTGCCCCAGAGCGATCGAAACCAACACGGGATAAAATAGACCCCAGGAGACAAGTCGAGATGAGGTTTAGGGGGCGACGGCTCGAAAGAATCGAGTCGTGGAAGGCATGGGCTTGGCCAGACATGCCCCCAGCGTTCCAT